ATATTATGATAATCTAGTGACATAATATAATCATGCAAGCCAAGTGAGAGATTATAAGAATTTTTCCTAAATATGGCTTAATGTGGCTTATATATAATTATACTAGATTCATCTCATTAAGTAAGATACATGTATATCAATTAGATGGTGACTAATCATTGATGAATGCACCTATATATACATAATGTATAGAAGACTAATGGAGATAGTGTCAATGCATTGAATGCGATAGATTCATTATGAATGAATTTTAGAGATGCATTATGTATCTATTATGGATGTAGAAGATACATTGTTAGGTTTTTATTCTTGGCAATCTCGTTTGACAAAACTCCTTTCAGTTGTAATTGTATTCGATCTTTTATTTTAGTGAGGTTTTGAGTTTTAGATGCAAATCCAACCCGAATTGGGCCTTGTAGAGATGTTTCAGAAGTTAATTCTTTCATAATTGTCACTTCGCTGACTATGTTGGGGATCGAGCTGCCCGGTCAGCTCGCGGGGGTCCAGGGGGCAGCACCCCTTGGCAGGTTCGGGGCAGGGCCCGACGGGGTCGAGCGGCACCACCCTCGTAGCAAAAAGCAAAATTGCAATCGAAGTTGTTTGTCCGCTCGAGCGCCATTCCTGTGCTCGAGCGGAGATCACGACCTTTTAGAAGTTTCATTCGCCTGTAAAAGTACTAGGAGTTGTTTTTTCTCGCTCGAGCGGTCATTCCTGCGCTCGAGCGGAGATCGCGGATCTGTTTTCAATAAATATGTGTTTCAGTCCGATTTTAGGGTACGGCTTCCAGATTTTCTTATTGGGTATTGGGGTTTTCATCTAGAGCTTCTTTGCTGGTTTCCTTTGATATCTGTGAGAGTTTAATCATAAATTGAGTGAATTATATCAAACGGTTTGTTTAGTTTGGTTTATTTAAAAAAGAGAGAGTTGTTCTTCGGTGAATTTCGTGGAATTTGGGCCTGAAGCTTTGCTGGATTCTAAAGTGGCTCATCATCGTGGATACAATATCAGCGTTATGGATTCAACGTTGGGCAAGACAATTCTGAGGTGAAGACCGTGGTGGAAGAGGCATATAGGGGTCGGTTCGATTCAGGCGTGGATTCGATAGGTAATTAAAAGTACACTTGTGTAATTCCTTTTGTCTTCTTAGAGGATTGTTTTGTGGCTTTGGCCCGTAGTTTTTTTTATCACAATTGGAGGCGCTCCAATTGTAATTTTTCCACATTAAAATCATTGTGTCAATTTGTCTTGATTGTTTGATTGAGATTGTTATTTACTGCTTAAAATTGATACATAATCACAAATCAATTTCTAGGCGATTTCTAGATTTTTCATATATTAATCTATCTAATGAGTTCATTAATATGGAAGATGCATTATGTATCATGAATGTAAAAGATACGTTAATCTATTTAATAAAATTCATTGAATGAATGAATTCTTTGATGGGAAGAATATTAGTATAAATAGTGTAAGGTCCCAAACCACAATCTCCATCACAAAACTCAAGTTGTCACCACAAGAAGGCTCCCAATCGCCTAGAGAGAGAGAGAAGTGGTTTGAAGATTTTAGACAAATAAAGAACTTAAAGGTCAAGGTCTTCTATTCAAGGTTGTTCTTCCTCAAAAAAGTTTTCATACTATCATGGATCAAGATACGTATACACTTATTTTGTATAGTTGAAATTCATATAATTTTCATGTATAAAATTGAATCCTTAATAATTTTTAATTTATGTTCCGCAAAGTTTTCTATCAGGGACGCCATGTTGGTACTGCCTCAAATGCCGTTTGATTTCAAATGTTTCAGTGCATTGTTTGTTAACAATTTTGTTATGAACTTGAGTTGAAGAGAAATGAAAAGAATGGTGGAGGAATCATTTTTTTACTTGATTATTCCATGGTTACTGATGAAAGAAAAAGATTTCAAGTTTCTGGAGGGATTTTTTTTTTTTTTGGGGGGGTTTTTTTTTTTTTTTTTTTTTTTTTTTTTTTGCCCTTTTTAAATGGGGATCATCACTTCTCTCGTGTTTGGACTTTGGATTTGTTTAGATATTTGTGCTGGTTTGTTTTCATTTTATGAGAGATAGAGAGCTAATTATTTACCATTTTCTACAAAACTAAAAAACCCATTTCTATTTTATTTTTTAACCACAATATAAAAGGTTTCTTCACTTGCTCATCTTTATCAGGGAAATTCAATTTTCCTCTGTTTTTCTTTATTCAACATCCAAAATTCCAATTAAAGGGTTGATACTCCACGTTATTTTCCTCTCTAATGCTTGTCTATTTGTATCTATCGACTATACTCCTATCTATTAGCACAAGTTAAATGTATTTTTCTCTTTTCACCGTGTTGTTCTTTTTCATCTACAGATCAAAGATCCAAACACTACCTAAAGATATCATAAGCATATGTTTTTTTTTATCTTTGGTTTGATGGAAATGTTGATAGATCGCAAAGCCAACAAATGGTAATGCCAAAATCGGATGACTTACGTACAAGGTAGGTAGGTAGTGGGTTTCTCATGGAGGTGATTGGTGAAATTATGGGTCTGTAGTTGGGGAGGCATGGGCGGAATGAGGTGTGGTTAGAGGGATTTGGTGGTGGAGATGGTTGTGGGACTGATCTAGTCATTTGCGGAGGTTGGCCATTGTCCCCATCTAATTTTATGATCTTGTGGGACCATACAGGGGAGGACCCGTCTTGGGTAGTGGTGGTGGGAGGGGTTGGTTTGTTAGTGGTGGTTAGGAAAGGGATGCTGTGGTGGTGGGTGCACTCAATGTGATAACAAATCTCCTTCGTTCATTGCAGTGGTGTAAACAGAAACAGTGGTGATGATGTTTTCTATATTATTATTATTATTATTATTTTATTATTTTATTTATTTTTGGCTCTATTGTTTTATGCAACTCACCACAATTGGTTGGTTGAGGAGGTGGTGATCTGAAAGAATTGAATGGAGCTTGTTTTGTGTCACTCACCACAATTGGTTGGTTAAGGAGGTGGTAGTTTGAAAGAATTGATTGATTGGGTGTTTTCTACAAGGTTAATGTTAAGAATCTCAAATTTTTGACTAAATATTTCACATGAATGTGAGATGTACGTCCCACATCTACGTGAGACATTTGGTAAAATATTTAGTCCTCTACCATTACGTTTTCTACAATAATAGCCAAATAAGTAGTAGATCGGGATAGTAACTTCAGTAGTTATGGAATAAAAAGACAGTAGTGAAAAATGAATAATATAAGCTAGTGAGATGGTCAATGAAGAGAGATGATGGTCGTGGCTGACCTCTTTTCCTTCTTTTTTACTCTTCTTTTTCTCTCTCCTTACTTTAGATGCAAATTTGCCTAATCAAACAAGATTATTGTAGTAATTTTATCATTGTATTGAATGGTGTTAAATGACAAGAGGGGTATCAGTGTAATTTCAGAGAGTAAGGGAGGTGACCATGTCATATCAAAGAAATTCAAGGGGGGTGTCACTGTAATAAAATGATTTTTATTTGCACAAGTACAACCAAACAGGCACAACCAAGTGAGCCACTCAACTCCAGGCAAAGTGAGCAGTGAAGCACATGGGCCTTTTACTAGTTATGGTAAGGATGACCTGTCTACTAAAGCTAAAGGTATTGCCAAATTTAGAGAATTTCTGGTAAGGTGGCTTGTCAGTTCCCACATGTCACCCACCACAATTGATATGCTCCTCCACTTCTTGCTATAAAAATAAATAAATAATTAAAAATAAAATAAAATAAAATAATAACCCATTTATGGAAGGCTTGTTTAGTTTGTTTGTTACTAGAAGCCCTAATCTGGACTGGTTCGCCTACAATTGATGTGCTCCACTTCTAGTTAAAAAAATAAAATAAAATAACAACCCATTTATGGAAAAAAAATAAAAAATAAAAAATACTAGAATCCCTAATCTAGAGGGATTTATTTTCAATTGGGATGCAAAACTAATGCATTCTAATTTAACAAGTAATAACAACATATAACACATTGGGAGCTCAGTGTGCATATTTGATCAAAAATATGTTTGCATTCTAATTTAGCAAGTAATAACAACATATTGGGAGTTCATCATGCATTTAATCCAAATTCTTTCAAATCACAGCACAAAAAAAAAAAAAAAAATCATGAAACAGGAGCTGAAGAACTTGCTCCTGAAGTGATTGGTTCATTCTTTCAATTTATGCAGCCTATCTGCCGCCGATTCAAAAAAGTGATGGTATGTTTCATATTATAATTCAGGAATGGATGAGGAGAACTAATACCTGATTAAAGAATGAAATTAGTTGATGTTACTCCACATCAACCCAGGTGAATGAATTGCTCAAACATCCTTGTAATATTAAGCTTCAATGAGATAAACAAGAAAATAGAAGCAACAAAACTAAGCAAAAAGAGGCTCACTTTTGGCCCCAACAAGTCCCCTACAGAGTGAATTAAAGAAACAAACAAATCCTATATTAAATCATGAAAACCTGCTTGACCACATTGAATTAGCTCTAAGCTCAAGTAAGAAGATCATTCAAACATCTATTACCACATAAGCTACAGTGTGCAAAACTGTATTTAGTATCTTCGTATCCTAGAGAATTTATATAAAACCTTAAACAGAAAAGCACAGTGGAAAATATCTTTCGATTTGAATTGTGTTCTCATAATCAAGGCTACGTCAGTTGTTATGTTTGTCTGAAACTAGGATATGTATAGTTTTGATGCCCTACAAGAATGTGTGGCAGATCCAAAGCTCGTGTAAAAGCTGTTCTATTCATATTTATTCACTAATATATATAGAATATAAGTATAGTTGATTGCTAAATTAAGAAGCCAATTGTGAAAGCAGTGCAGGATAAGATAAAGCTGTAGAAGTCAGAGATCAAGTCACTAAAAATTCTTCAATATTCATGAATTGAAATTCTGCAGTGGATCTGAAGCAAAAAAAAAAAATGAAAGCTAAGACATATTTTCCAAAAGTATATCATAGAATGAAGCTTGAAATAAATAACCCCAAATCACTAAATAATGAAATTTTGCAATTTATTGGTATGAAGCAGTTTGCTGTGAATCAGAAACATAACTTGGAAAAAACAAAAAAGATAAAAACCAACATTACTTCTATCCAGTGGCCTTGAAAGCACACATATAGCACGATCATGGATGTGAGGTACATCCAATTCAGGAATGTTAAAAGAGAATAAAAACAAGTTCTCATCTTCAGAGAAGCTAGCTCCTCAAATAATTCTGGTCAATCAGGTAAACATGCAAGCAAATGAAGGCTAGGTCACATTAAGATACATGATCCTCCAAGTGAGTCAAAATACAAAAATCCTCAGCAACCCATCACAGCACAATTGTACACAAACACGCCAACATGCTCTTTCATACCAATTACTTTCCAATCCAAAGTGCCGTTTTGGACGCCTGACTTTGGGCACCATGAGTTCAGAACAATGGCTTCACCTTCTGGGCCCCTTTGCCCGCCCACTACAAGAAGTTCCTTTCCACAGGCCTTAAAAGCCAAGCCCCAACCATTGGACGAATCAGCCCTCACTGGAAGCCTTCCCAACACATTCCACGAGTTCTTCTCCTTGTCATACTTCTTCACCATGTTCGTCAAATACTCAACTGCATATAGTTCGTTATCAACAACAGCCACAAGTGGAGGTGCTTGAGCAGCCCTATTGACATTTGGATACATGCCCTCGATTTTCCTCCACTTCCTTGACTTAAGATCATACTCCTCTCCACAAGTCAATGAATCAGTAGGACTTGTCATTCCACCAATCACGTAAAATTTGCCATCCATAAAAAAGCCTGAGCACAATCTACGCGGAGAGTGCATCTTGGGCAACATTTCCCATCTACCAGTTTTCGAATCGTATAGCTCAGCAGATTTCAAAATATTCCCATTCTTGTCACTCCCTCCTGCAATGATAGCAATTGAACCTAGACTACCAGACCCAAACAAACAACGAGGGTGATTCATTCCTTCACACTTCACCCATTTCTGACAAATTAATCTGTACTTCCAAATGGCAAAATCAAACAATTCACGGCCAAAAACCAGCAATTCACTGCCCACAGTCAACGACTCCTTATCTGCATGGTTGAAACACTCATCACATGGGATTTTCGGCAATGTCATCCACTTATTTCTCCTGGGATCAAATGCCTCCCATCCCCTTGGATCACAAACCATGTACACCCAATGCTCCACAATCGCCAATTGCTTCCTCAAATCATACAAGTACCCCCTTTTCATTAGTGAATTAAACCTCATATTCAAGCAAGACAAGGAAGCATAATCAGATCTACAAACCCAAGCAAGACAAGTCAAAGCAACATCATCATGTAGACCAGGTAGAAAAGAATCACTTGGTCCCAATTTTTTTCGACCATCATAAACTCTTCTCTCCGACCCCATTTCCGACACACCACTTTCTTCTTCTTCTTCTTCTTCTTCTTCTTCCTCGATCACATACTCTGAGCACGACCTATTTTTCTTATACGGACTTAATTGTTTCTTCGACCTATCAGTATGTAATGCCATGTTATCAAATCTTTAGTATACCCCCCCAACTAAACTATGCAAATTTACCCCCAAAACAACACCAATTTGATTGACAAATTCACAAATTCAATTCCCAATCACTTTCCCCGTAACCAGAAAAAATATTCCGATCTTTGCATGTTACTGTTCTCTGTCTATTATTTTATCCATCATCCTATTAAATCACTGCTATAATTCCACATATCCATCATCCTATTAAATCACTGCTATCACACTCCATACTCAAAAACAATCAATCCAACCAAGTATTGAATATAACTTACAATACAATACAAGTATGACGAAGCAAAACCTCAATTTGCAGGGCCCTCCGGTCACGATTCAATATTCCGGCGAGACCAACGGAGAATCAATATTTTCCGGCTGATTTTCTCGAGAACTCTGCTTCAAATGATTGTGTGAAAAAAAACAAAACAAAAATTAAATACAAAACAACAAAATTGAACCGAACAAAGAGGTCGGTGTCAAGATTGCGGAGATTTTGTCTGATCGAGAAAAGGTCAAAATCGGCGGAGAATTATTTGAATCTCGCCGGAAAGGCGCCGCGACGCCGCCGGAGAAATTGTAGGAGGTTTGATCGGTTCTCTAGATGGTTGAACGCCGGCGACGGTGCCGGAAAGTTGCATTGAACATGTCGCCGGCGAATATAGAGAGAGAAAAACAGTTTAGAGAGAGAGAGAAAGAGAGAAAGAGAGACAGAGAGATGAGAATTGAGAGAGAGAGAGTGTGTTGTGGAGATACGGTTCGTTTCTTAAATCAGAGAGAAACTGAGAGCTGATTGAGAAAAGCTATGGATTTTTCTTTTTCTTTTTTTTTTCTTTTTAAATTAATTATGCTGGGGTGAGAGAGAAAGTATCGAATGTGAGTCCGAAACTGAAAATTTGTTGCATATGTGTGCAAGAGCAATGCTTGGTAGTCTGGAGAAGAAGTTGACTCGAATGGCTCAAAATTTGTTTTATTGGTCATTTAGGCGGATATTCGGTTGGTCATTTGATGAGGAGGTGTCAAGCTACGGTCAACAAAAATGACAACCGCATTAGATAAAGTTTTCACTCGATCGTCCGGTGAACGTTCAGCCGGTCGTCTAGCGAGAAGGCTGACAGTCGCGGTCGATAAATGTGACAATTGTAATAGACAAATTTTCACCCGATCATTTGAGCGGACGTTCGATAAACACCCATTCGGACCATTCGAGTCCCTCCTTTTCTGACTATCAAACATTTTTATGTTTGCAATTGTGCCCCTACTTTTTGGAAAAAGTATTTGAATACTCCCAAAATTTTATGTTTTATTTAGGATAAATTACAATATACTCCTGAAATTTACTTAAAATACGAATTGTCTCTTATGGTTTGGAAAATTACAAATACCTCCCTATCAGAATTTTTTATTTAACAAAATTAATTGAAAAAGTGAAATTTCTAACTGTTCACCTATAAAATAATAAAATTATCTAAATTATTAATTGAAATAAAATTTTAATATTATTAAAAACTGTTAATTAACTTGATGATTTATTAATAAAAGGATCTATTTGTTATGAAATTAAAAATCTTAAGGGGCATAATATAATATCTAGAACCAAGGGGAGTAATTTATAATTTAAGTAAACCTCTAGGGGTGTGTTTGTAATTTATCCTTTTATTTACTATGTAAACTTATTAAGACTTCGTTTGACATGCAGTAGGGGTGGTCACAGTTTGGTTTTAGATGGTTTGTGAATTGGTTTGGACCCGTCCATATGTATGCGGTTTGGGGAAAATTCAACCTGCAACCGCCCGCAGTGCGGGTTGCAGTTTGTACGGATAGGGTTCGCGGATGTACAAGCGGTTTGATGATTGGACTTTTTTCTTCAAAAATTTATTTTAAAGCCTTTTTTTTTCCCATTTTATAAATATTTAATTTGGGTCATTTTTCCTTCATTTTCTAAAATGCTCTAACATTAATAATTAATGAAACTTATAAAATTGAAAACACAACAAAATTAATTCCTAACACAAACAAATCATTCAAAATCCTAAACTTTTAAATCAAATCATAAACTAACACAAGTACATCATTTAAAATCCTAAATTAGGTTATCAATCTCATTCACTATCTACTACCCAACAATACAATTAAATTAAAATCCTAAACTTACCTAAAAGTAATTCTTCATTAACTTTTATATTTATTCAAAATGTAATAATAAAATAATAACAGTCTAGGTTTTTAAAAAAAAAAAAAATCCATGTGCGGACAGATTTTTGCGGGTGCGGGTTAGACCTGCAACCCACAATCATACCATATTTCAAACCCTATTTGTCCACATTGTATCTGTGAAACCGTCCATTTATATGCGGATCGATTCAGATTGGGTAGGCTGGACAGTTCGGATAACCCTATGCCCACATTGCCCTGCCCCAGCACGAAGTACTTTTAGCCTAAAAATAAAAAAGTTTATAATCTATACCAAATAGTCAAAAATTTACTTTTCTCTCTACTTTTTACACCTCTTTTAGTAAAAAATTTAAAAATCATTCCAAACATATTAATTTTTTTACCTCATATTTTAATCAAAAAATTAAAAACTTGCTAAAATAGTTTGTTCCCAAATGAGGCCTAAGAACATCCACAAAAGGACGTGTTAGTGATTGTGTTAGTGTCAGTGGTCAAATTTTAGCTAGCTACAGTAATATTTAGATCTCACAATGAAAGTGTTAAGTAATGTGTTAGTGGGTTTTGTTAGTGTCAGTTGTTAACTTCTTTGTTAATTGTGGCTTGCGTTTTAGCTTGTTAGAGAGAGTGGGAAGAGGGAGAGGGGGACGTGGGAAAATGCCTTGGGGTCATCCGACCGGATGTCTAGCCGGTCATCCCCCCGAACGTCCGGCCGGTCATCCCCCCGAACGTCCTGACCCTTCACAAAAAAAAATAAATAAATTTGCCTTTGACCAGTCAACCGACCAGTTGACCCGCTGAATGTCCAGCCCAACTTTCCTATTTTCATTCATTCCATCTTAACACATATTATTTATATATATAAACTACACACATCTTTAACACATATTATTTATACTATTTTATTTATTATTTATATATATACACTTAACACACATTTTAACACATTCATTGCACCATCACTCACTCTTTAAAATTAACAAACTCTTAACACACCTTAACACATATTTTTGGGCCCCACTTTTATCACTTTTTATCATATAACACACTTTTTAACAAACAATTTTAGCTATTCCATTGTGAATACTCTAAGCTCTCATTTGAGAATTTGATTATTTTAATTGATTTTTTGGTTTTTTTTGTTATTTTATTAGATTAAAAAAAATTGTGGTTGGAATGATTTGTAATTTTTTTTTTTATAATTGAATATATAGTTGTAAAATAAAAAGTAATTGGTTGATATATATGATGTGACTATTTTAGTATTTTTTGTTTTTATTAATTATTTTAGCCAAAATTAATTATCCCAAACACCTTTGTTATCTCCTAACTATTAACAAAAGTATTATACCACTAAATAATTAAAAAGTGTGAAAAAGATTAAAAATAAATAAATAAATAATTTTTTTCTAAGTTTTTTAAGTGTGAACTTGATGAAAATTAATAATAATAATAATAATAATAATAATAATAATAATAGTAATAATTTTTCTGTACAATTAAAATTAGAATGGTAATCAATTTTTAATTTCTTGCCAAAAAGAAAACTCGTCAATACAAAGGATTTTTTATAATTAAAATTCTAAAATTCTCTTTGCAAAATTTTCATCATAATGAAATGCTTTCAATAAAATATTTTTCTTTCAGTTTCTTTACTTTCTACCTTTTTTTTCTTTTCACCATTTTTTTTCTAATCAAATGGAGTTTTATATAAAATACACAATTCATAACATCTTTGGAAGTTTTTTCACTTTTTTTATATATTAAAAATTCCCATAAAATTCTTATATTTTTTTTCAAAATTATAATTCGATTAATTTAAAATTACACGTCTAGCAAATAATTACTAAACCGTTTTCAAAGTCAACTCAATTTGCTCATTTATCAAATTATCCAAAAATTTTGATGTAAAATTACAAATGCATTGCTTTGCAGCCACCGCTGGCATGGCACTACATAATATACACACATAACTTAAAGGTAATTTTATACAAACAAAATTTATATAATTTTTTTTTTTATAATTTGTCTCATTTATATCTATTCATTGAAAGTTAAAAAATCATCACTATAGTTTATAATTATAAAAATATTATTATAATATCATTTTGTATGTAAATATTTTTCATAATTTCATTTTAACAAATAATAATTTTTTAGGCCCAAGACCACCATTGTTGTAAAGCTTGCAACCACACTTGCACTCTTGCAATCAGGGACGAAACTAGAAGAAGATTATGAGGGACTATGACCCTTCTATTTTTGTGAAAAATATTATGTGTCATAGAATTTTAAAAATATATATCATTTTATACGTAAAATGGCCCTCCAGTATAACAAACATATCTTATTTTTCTCCCATCTTACATTCTCTTTTTATTTTGTACCAAAAAAATTTCTTCATCCTATTAAAAATTGCTTCTACCATATTTAATTTTTTTTTCTATTTATATATATAATTTATATATCATATTATACATGCACATGTATATGATGAAAAAATATATATTTTTCTTTCCCCTCTGGTAATGAATCCTAATTTCGTCCCTACTTGCAGTCAAAGTGACATTTTAAGCCTGAAGCATGGGATAATAGGGTAAATTACATTTTTGTGGTGGTACCTACAATTGTTAATGGGAGCTTTTAAAAATACACCAATTAGTTATTTTCTTTATCTACATTTACAAATATATTTTTTTTAAATATAATGTTTACTGTATAGTATACATGTAACAGGTACAGAAAAAATTAAATAAGTATATTTATATAGTCCAGTCCTTAATCGGACTGGACCGTGTTGTTGGGCACTTGGGGGCCCACCACGGGTCCCGTTTTGATAATTTGAACCGTTTAATGTATAGAACTCGTCGAGTACTATATATTTATAAAAAAATCACATTAATTGGATATCGATAGCTATGTGATCAAATCAGTTTTGTATAAAAAAAAATGGATGATGAATAAATTAACGGTTGACAAAAATCTGTTTTGATCACATAGCTATCGATATCCGATCAACATGATTTTTTACAGGTATATAGTACTCGACGATTTCTACACATTCAGCAATTCAGATTATCAAAACGAGACCCGTAATAAACCTCTACGAATCCAATAATACGATCCAATCTAATTAAAGACGGGACAGAATACATTCCCATTTATATAAGCTCTCATTATAAATGCACTCCTTGTGATTTTTGAAGTAATGATGTAGTTTTTGGAACCAGTGCTTCACATGGCTTGATCAGAAATACTTGTACAATTCTTTTATTTATGAATGTTTAATTGTTTTGCTATTTGTCTTATTTCTTTGGAGGAATATAGAATTTCAAAAAAAAAAATGAAAATAATTTCATCAAATGAAATTTGATTTTACAAACTCGTGTTTGCTTGTATTTTCGTTTTTTTCTGTTCTAAAAAAGTGGGTTAGTTTTTAAAATATTCCCAAAATCAATCCGACAAATAAGTTTTCTATATTTATAGAAAATGAAAATAGAAAGCAAAATCACAAGTAATTTAAACTTATTAGCACCTTTATTTTTATTTTATTTTTTTGATGAATCCAAATAATAAAGTGGAGAAAGAGAATCGCTAAGTGATTTACAATGAGTAGCAAATTATACAAACGCTACAACTTTCATCTAATCTTACTTTTAGCAAAAGTTAAACTCCCGATCTCTTATATATGAGTAGGGAGATGCCG